TTGTTATAGTGTGAACTTGGACTCCGTAGTCCTCTGACCAGGCCAGACATGTTGCCCTTTTGACACATTTCTAGGGCTTGTCTGAGGCATTGGTCAGAGTCCCTGCTCCTGTGCTCAGGACATTTCTGCCTCTGCTTTCCTTCCAGCACCGGTTCTTGCTAGGAACATAGATGTCACTTCTAGGGGACAGCACTTGATTGCTGACTTAGTCTGTCTGAGTTTAGTGCGCTTTCTCTGGTCATGGCAAGGAGATAATGAACTAACAGGGAGGACAGACACATTTTGGTCTCCGCAGTCTATAGTCACTGGCCTTTATGCTCTCTCTGGTCATGGCAAGGAGATAATGAACTAACAGGGAGGACAGACACATTTTGGTCTCCGCAGTCTATAGTCACTGGCCTTTATGCTCTCTCTGGTCATGGCAAGGAGATAATGAACTAACAGGGAGGACAGACACATTTTGGTCTCCGCAGTCTATAGTCACTGGCCTTTATGCTTTGGCTTGTGGTGGGGTCATGCAACATGGCATGACCTAAGCATGAGGTGAAGGGAACTTGTTCATCTCATGGCACCACAATCTCAGGATCCCCTTTGATGGCATGTCCCTGTGACCTTCCTTACATCATTAGGCTCCATCTTGTGAAGGCCCTGCCATCTCTCAAGGACAACACAGGCTGGTGTGCAGTCCTTTAGCCTTTGAAGGACATATAAGAGTCAAACCTTAAGACCCTCTAAACCTCTCTATCCCTTTACTGGAGAATTAGCAATGTCAGATAGTGTCTGCTCCAGCTGGTGGGTCTTGAGCTGAGAGAGAATGACATGAAGTATGACCCTCAGCTGACCTGAGGTGGACAGGTAGTGAAAACAGAAATTAAGTAATTGAGATTTGGGGGGTTTGTTTGTTGTTACAGCTAAACCTAGCCCATCCTGACTGATTCACACCCCCACCCACCCTCCAAGACAGGATCTCACTGTGTAACCCAGGCTAGTCTGGAACTCACTTTGTAGACATGGCTGGTTTAGAATTCTGGAGATCTACTTGTCTAAGCCTCCCGAGTGCTGGGGTTTCAGGTGTGTGCCACCTATGGTCAATATATAGATTTTGAACTTGGTCCATTTGGTCCAAAAGACATATTCGTATCTTATTATCTGCTCCATATCTTCCAAAAAAGAGATTTTAAATAATTGGAAGCATATTCATGGTACTTAATTTCAGTGCTTTAACTATTTTAACACAATTCTGAGAAGGAGGGATTGTCACTATCACCACTCTCACTGATAGATAAAGATATTGAAGCACAGAGAACCTATGGAATGTGCCCAGGATCACACAGCTAAGACATGGCAGGACTGGAAATCAGCAGCAGATTCTGCCTGTACCTACTGCATTTGGTTCCTAAAGTCAAAGCCCATACATCTGTCTGTTTGTCTGTCTTTCTAATTATATAATTTATGTGTAAAATTGAGCTGTATTATATCTATCATCTATTTATCTATCAATCATCTATCTATCAACATTTATTTATTTAGATTGTAGGGTACTTTCTTCTCTATCAGAAATTCTCGTAGATTTTTTATGCTGATTTTAGAGATTCATATATTCTACATATCTAGAACAATGTGATTACATTTTATTTTCAATTTGGAAAAGAGGGGAGTGGGAGACTTCTACATCTGAACCCACTCATCTTTCCTCATTCTTCCTTTGAGGGGATATTCCTGCAGTCATTCCTATGCATTCTGCCCCCTGCCTGCCACTTCTGGGCATTGTGTTGTCCTCAAGCTGTTTAGTCAGTGTTCAATCGCTGTGAAGAGACACCATGACCACAGCAACTCTTACAAAGGAAAGCATTTAACTGGGGCTTGCTTACAGTTTCTGGTCTGTTATTTTCATGGCAGGAAGCATGGCAGCACGCAGGCACATGGTAGATGAGAGTTCTACATCCCCATCTGAAGGCAGAAGGAAGAGACAGAGACTCTGGGCTTGGCATAGGTTTTGAAACTTCAAAGCCCACCCCCAGTGACATATGTCCTCCAACAAGGCCAACCTCCTAATTGTTTTCAAACAGTGCCACCCCCTAGTATTCAAATCTATGCATCTATGGGCCATTCTTACTCAAGCCACAACACAAGCCTTAGACAAAAAGCTCCTTGTCTTTTAGGCTCTGAGTCTCCTTGTTACTTCCTCTTTCTAGGTACTCCAAAACCACGAATCTTGGGTCTGTCCTGCCAGGACACGAAGATCCTGGGATCACTGGAAGCTGAAGGTAGGTCCTACTAGTTTTGGAGGTGGACTGGAGACACAAGTGGGCTTCTCGTGGTGGGTATCTGCCGTGGAAATGCTAGGGACCCTTGAAAGCAACAGATGTCTTTCCCACACCTTCAGGTGGCTGCACTGAAAACTGAAAAATATGTGTCTTTGAAAGTCAAGCTTTGAGGAATGTAAAAAAGAAATTAATAATAAAGACAAGAAAGTCAAGCTTTGTTTTCTATAACACACACACACACACACACACACACACACACACACGAGTGAGGGGGTGTCGTTCTCTAGTAAAGAATTAGGAAAATACTGAACGATGCAGGTGCTTGAAGTCAGAAAAGGTCGCCAAGGCATTCCCAGGCTGTGAACTTATGCAGGTGATTCAGGCTTTATTGAGGGAGGAATTGAGGTCTGATGGACAAACATGGCATTCTAACCACAGTTCAGCTGTTAGTCCATAGGAAGCATCCTGTTACTATTATGAAGATAAAATGCTGCTTTTTTTTTCTTCTTCTTCTTTGCCACAAATATTTTTTTTCTAAAAGTCTCCCTTTCCATTCAAGTTAGCGAGGCAGGAAGGTCTCAGGGCAGCCATGCCTGCAGCATTAGCTAATCAGACTCTCAAGAAACATTCCATTCTGCTTAGGAGGGCCTTGGAGAATGGTTTGCTCATGGTGGCTTTTAAAGTACACAGAGGATTGCCAGGCTGAATGGACTCCCTGTGGGGCTGGTGACCTGGTTTGAGGCTGGTGCCCAGCAGGCCTGCCTCCTGCCGGGATGTGGACTGGACATTTAGGACTTGTCTTCCTCTTCCCGGTTTTTGGGGGTGGGGTGTGAAGTGAAAACTCACAAATTCTGTCTCTTATCCTAAAATGGGTGGGAAGTGGAGACTTGAGAATGTAATGAACAGTTACAGTCAACACACAAGAGCACTTGGACGGCAACTTTTATCAGCAAACATCAAGAGGTGAGGTACTATGGCAGAGTGCCAAGAAAGAAACGGTTTCAGTTCCTGGTTTTATCATATGCAGCTGCGTGACCTCACATAAGTAACCGATCCTCTGTCTACCTATTTATCTATTTATCTCTCTGGATATCATTATTACTAGAGACACGATACTGGTGACTGAATAGAATATTCTAAGCATGCTTGACAGCAAAAATTGCCCAAAAAGCTGGTTGGAAATACAGACTCCTGGTATCATCACCCCTTTAGAGTCTAAGGAAAGAGCCAGGCACCCCCACCCCAGGGCTCCACAAGACTCTTACCAAGCAGCTTGGAAAGGTATCCCTCTTGTTTTGGCATTTTTGTGTGCCTGCCCCTTTATTCAATAAAAATTTAGCTTTTGAGTGAAGGAGAAATGATAGAAAAAAGGTCAAATATCATCTTGCTGTATATTCTCAAGGCAAATGTATATTGAACTTGGTATAGTAGATTTATTCCTGAAAAGCTATTTTGCAATTGTAATCTGGTGTGTGTGTGTGTGTGTGTGCTGTGTAAGAATATGATTCGTGTCTTATTTTGCTATTCAAAGGCACACACTCACTTTAACTAAGTAAGTGTAACTGGAATGGCTGCTATATGCTGTCAATGTAGTGATGAACAAGACACCGGCTGTCTTTGCCTGGCTGTTTCAGACTCCATGAGGAAGGCAATCAAATAAACAGAGGGGATCTAGCTCAGTCGGTAGGGGATTGCCTAGCATGCACGAAGCTTGGGCTCAATCCTCAGCACTGAGTAAGTGGGGTGTGGTGGTGCGTGTCTATAATCCTAGTCAGCACGCAAGAGGTAGATGGAGGAAGGTCAGAAGTTCAAGGCCATCCTCAGGTATATATGGAGTTCAAGGTTGATCTCGGCTACATGAGACCTTTATACAAAGCAAAACAACTCCATAAACAGAGTTAACCATAGAAAGCTATGGTTCACTGAAGAGAAGTACATACCATATAAACTGGGACATTCTAGCTGCATAAGAGATCAGCCTTGTGAAATCCTTTTGTGGAGGGAGTGATTCTCCCCTGGTTTGTCTTTGCAAAGAATCCATGTTCCCACCAGGTAACCACACATTTGCTCAAAGCTCCAGTGCCTACACTACTGCAGACAGAGCACTGAACAAGATACTACAGAGTAGACGGAGGGGATGAAGTTCTGCCCACAAGGAGTTTACAACTATCACTGTTCAGAGTTCATTTCGCACACAGAGCATCAGTCCATTGCCATTCGTTTATTATGCATATAGTAACCTCTTCTCTGAAAAGGCTGTTCACCACCCCCCCCCGAGCAGGGTTTCTTTGTGTAACAGTCCAGGAACTCACTCTGTAGACTAGGCTGGCCTGTAACTCACAGAGATCCATGTGTGGCCACCGCCCGGCAAGGCTCTTCATTCTTAAGTGGGGGCATACATCTTACCCTGGAGGAAATCTAAGTGCATGCAGGAATTCACACAGCTGTTTGCAGATCCAAGATGTGTATCTGTGGCAACTGGGATGGGTGAATAGGGTCTGTGAGTATCAGGGACAGTATACAGACGTCGGAGCACTAAAACTTCCTTTGCTCTGTGCACCATGGACATGAAGACTTTTTGTTTGATTTTGAAACAGGGTCTCTCTCTAATGTAGCTCTGGCTGTTCTGGAACTCACGTGTTGACTAGGCTGGCCATGAATGCTTTTAAATGACACCTGTTTCTGTCTCACGAAGGGTTAGACAGGGAGCAACAAACAGAATTCCTCATGGGCTATGATAACAGATAGTGTTTAATTAGATTCAGAGTACAAAAGGGCAGGTGCAGTCCTTGTCCCTTTACACCCGTCTCTCTGTGTGAAGCCTTGTTCCCACCGTGCAGTTGGGACCCAAGGATGCCTGGAGACAGGTTGGACACCTGGTGGTCTACACTCCAGTTCTCAGACTAGACTTTTTTTTTAAAATCTTGGTCACTCGTTTCCCAAAATAGAATACTCAGCCTCCTATTTCTGTTTCTTAGAAGGCCAAGGTTGATGAAGCATCATTCCCCCCCCCCCCCCCAGTTGCTCCCACTTCCTGTCACCCTGCTCCCCTCTATCTGCCTAGTGAAACCCAACCACTCTTCAAAGCCCAGCTCAAGTGTCACCTCTCCCTTTGGTTGGACTCAATCCCTTCCTTCCTAGCAAGCCTCAGTTTGGTATTGTCTCTCATTACTTCTTAGTGCAGTGAATTGGGCTCTTCAGTTTCCTTTTGTCAGTCTGGGCAGAGTAGTAATATTCATGGTAGTCTAACTCCTTTCAGATCAGGTCGTGTGATGACAGCTGCCAGATGGGCTCACTCTGTATCCCACCCTCCCTGGGACTTTACCCATGATCTCATTTAGTCGCCAGCCAAGTCTCTGTAGGCAGGTACCAGTGGTATCTCCATTTTATACAAGAGCAAAGAGTGGTCCAGAGAGGTGCAGCATCTCTCTCTAGGTCATACAACCCGGATTAAACTGCTAGTATATAGCACAGCTAGGCTTGCCGCATGCCACAACTGGGGCTTTAATCACTGGACCAGCTTCTGTGTGGGCTCTGAATTCCCAGCCCAGCGCCTGGGGAGAGAACAGAATGCATGGTGTGCTTCCAATAGTTTCGGGGTTCACCCACTCCCTCCCCCAACCCAGCCACGGGCCAGGTTTCACCGGATTGCAGGCTAGAAGCAAGCACGGCTGTGACCTGGGCAAGAAGCACACTCAACCAGGGGCCAGGGAGTCCGTAGTGACCCATCCGCACTGACTAGTGGCTCTGGAACAGTGGAGCTGCGTCCCGCGTCCCGAGTCCCAGGAATGTGGGAGGGCTGGGCGGGCGGGGGTGGGGGGGGCGCTTCCTCTGGCCGCGGGAGGGGAGAAGCTTGAGCGTGCACCGGGTCCGCCACCGCCCACTCCCCGCCCGCCGCCAGCTCGCTGGGGGCGGGGGCCGCGGCGAGAGGGCGGCGAGGGGCCGCGGAGCACGGCAGCGGCCCGGAGGAAGCGATGAATATTCAGAGGGGGAGGGGAGGAGAGGGGGCCGAGCGCTCGGCGAGGCTGCCTGCAGCCCGAGCCGCATGACGCGCGGAGGAGGCAGAGGGAGCAGCCGGGGCCGCGGGAGCCGGGAGCCGGGCGCCACGCGCGGGGGGGTGGGCGTCGCTCGCTCCGCCCCGCGAAGCCCCTGCGTGTCTAGGGCCGCGGCCGCTCCGCGCCAAGCGCGCTAGGCTCCGCCGTGTGGCCGCCGCCGCCGCCGCTGCCATGTCCCCGGGGAAGCCCGGGGCGGGCGGAGCGGGGACTAGGCGGACTGGCTGGCGGAGAAGGAGGCGGAGGCGGCGGCTGGAGGCGGAGACGAGGGAGCCCGGCTTCGGGCACACGGCGGGGCGCGTCCCGGGCACGTTCCAGGGCGCGCAGGGCATGAAGCCCGCGGCGCTGGAGACGCGGCCACCCCCGCGCCCGCCCGGGCTCCGCTGGGCGCTGCTGCCGCTGCTGCTGTTGCTACGCCTGGGCCAGGTAAGCCTTCGGGTGGGCCTGGGCGTGTGTTGGGAGGACGCGGGCCAGACTGGCATCCCCTGCACCTGCCCGTGTGTCACCCGCTCGAGGATTACCCGGTAAGGTGCTGTGGATCGCGGTGCTGGGAGCCTTCCTCCTGGAGGGGGCTGGTGGGGATCTTGGCCGGCCTCCGGCTCCCGCCACCGAGCCCCTTCCTCGGCTGCCGGGTGCCAGGGGGAGGGCGGGATCCTGGGGCCCCCAGGGTGTCCCCGTAGACTCACTGTAGAAGCCCCCGCGTGGGTTGCAGGCCGGAGCTGGTCACATCTGGCCAGCGCGGGCCCAGCTCGAGCTCCCGAGGCGGCCGGAGGGGGCGTGTTTGCGGAGGGTTGTGGATGCGGAGCAGGGCCGGCCTGGGCTAACCGAGGCCGACCTCCGACCTGGCTTGGAGGGGCCCGAGGGCTTGGGCGGAAGGGCAGTGGCGGTGGCCGGGTGCTCGGGGACAGGGCCTGGCACTGGGCAGTCGGGTGGTGGGCGAATCGCGGGACCCCAGGGTGGAGGGCGCTGTTTATGGGGAAAGTTCCCAGCCTTGCCAAGGTGGCCGCTCAAAGGCGTCCCTTGAGGCTGCCGGCCTTGTTCTCATCATCACACTAGAGATGGTGCTGGCTTTTCTAGGTGTGTATTCGTGCTTTGTGGGTGCTAGCTAACCCCCGCCCCTGCGAACCATTTTTTTTTTCTTTCTTGCTTCACTTTTTCGGTAATGTTGCGCCTCGAATATTGGATGCTTCCTTTCTGTGGTATTCCCATGGTGGGGATGTGATGCAGGGCAGTTGGGGGATAGTCCCATTTTGCAGATAGGGAACTGAGGGAGAGAAGTGAAAGAGTGGAATCACCCAGCGGTGCTTCGGAAGCTGAGCAAGCCAGTTCTGCCTCACAGCCTTCTGGGAGCTGGCTGTGGTCTTGAACCCTGCAGCAGAAGGTGGCCTGAAGGATGCGCTTGTCTTGCTTTTTGTTAATGAAAATCTCCCTTACTTTATAGATACCAGCTCCAAGCTGACAGTGAAACACCAATGAAGTATTATTGGCTGGGGATGGAACCTGGCTGCAAGGGAACACTCCGCATGCACGCACGCACGCACGCAGGATTGCCTGAGAGGAAACATAAGCACTTGGGCAGCAGACAGGCAGGCAGAAGAAGGGAGCCTGAGTCTGGGGACTGCCCTCACTCTCAACAAGCAGGATTTGCACAAGCCTCAGGGAGGCCTGGAAGGTGGTGCGACCCTCTGGTTCTTTACTAGAGTAGGTGTGAGATGAGTGCCAGTGTCTAGTGAGGCATCAAAGTTGGATTTGCCCTTTCTTCCATCCTCAGTGAAAAGCATCTGTAGAATGGGGGTGGGGCCAGACCAGTGCTTAGTAGACTTGTTTGTAGGCCTTCAATTGGACAGTGTCTGAAAGAACTTTGTAGACATCAAACATTCACTTTTCAGATAAAGCTTTACCAGATGGAATTAACATTAAGGAACAGTGTGTATGGGCCGTCTTCATCCTGTCTCTATAAGAAGTTCATGTGCATAAGTCTTTGAGGTTAAAGAAAAAGAACTGCTTTATGCTTGAAGTCTCCCAGTCCCCCTTTCCCAGGAATTCACTATGTAGAATAGGGTGCCTTCAGACTCATTGAGATTTATTTGCCTCTGCCTCCCACATATAGGGATGGCCCTGTCTTGATATTCCCTTATGCTAAGGTTTATATTATAGAAGCATTTGATCTACATTTCCCATTAGTTTAGTTTGGTGTCTGTCTGTCTGTATGCATATACATTTTTGTTTCAACTATAGAAGTTGCAAGCTGTGCTTTGAATCAGCAAAAAGTATCTTGGGTAAATTTATTTCTTGCTCAATCCTTCCTTGTGTTTCATTAGCATATTGCTGCTCTCCACTTGCCTTGTATTTGGTTATTTCCTTCCTCTGTAGCTGGTTCTGTAGAAACGCAAGAGTACTGTCTTCATATTCTTGTTTTTGGATTTATTACAAAATAGGAAATGTAAAAGGTTTTGTGAAGAAATATCTCCAAAAGCTCACATTCAGCAGTTTCATTTTGATGGTGACTATCACAGGGAATTGGAGCCCCACCCTGACTCTTCTGTGGTTCTGAGGTGGGAACCCAGGGTGGGGAGTATGCTGTGTGTGCTGTACCGCTGAGTTATATCTTCAGCTCCAAGTCAGTGCGCTTGGAACTGAGTTTCAGGGGCTGGAAGATGAGTCATTGAGTGTGAGTTCTCGCTGCACAAGCGTGAAGACTTGAGTTCCAATCCCTAGTACTCATGTAAACTGTGGATTGTGGTCATGTGTGCCTAGAACCCTTTTACTGTGGAGAGTGGAGACAAGAAGAACACTGGGACTTGTTGGCTACCAGCCTAGCTCTAGATTCAGTAAGAGACCCTGTTGGAAAGGAATAAGATGGAGCGATAGATTAGAAGGCCCAGTGTCCTCTGCCTCATGTGCATGTGCGTGTTATCCTGATATACATATTCACAGTTACACTTTTTTTTTTTGAGGCAGGGTTTCTTTATCCAGCCCTCTCAGGTAGAACTCATTATATAGTCCAGGTTGTCCTTGAACTCACAGAAATCTGCCTGCCTCTGCCTCTTGAGGTTTTTTGCTTTTGTTTTTTTTTGTTTTTTGAGACAGGGTTTCTCTGCATCTCTGCATTGTTTTGGAAGCTGTCCTGGAACTCACTCTGTAGGCCAGGCTGGCCTTGAACTCACAGAAATCCGCCTGCCTCTGCTGGGATTAAAGGCGTGTGTCACCAACACCCTGCGCTTCTTGAGTTTTGAGTTTGGTGATAGATGGCTCCTGGCTCTGAAGACAGCTCAAATTCTCATACATCTTAAATGAGAATGTTGGAGTTGAGCGAAGATGGCCTGAAGTTACTTAATAAGATAGGGTTATGAACAAGCCAGGAGTGGAAGTTGAGTGTCCAGCCCGTGCCTAGTATTTTTGGTTATGTTTTCTCTATGGGTATAGTGCTGTGTTACTGTGTATGCCCCAAACTGCTTACAAATTGAGTTTAAAAGTCAATTAGACCAGGCTCACAGCCATCTCCAGCTCCAGGGGCTCTGACCCTCTCTTTTGATCTCCACAGGCACCCACACATATGTGACAGACAGTCACATAGTTAGACACACACATAAATAAAATAGAGATAGTAAATCTTTTAAAAGTCAGATGTGAGATATTTTTGAAATTTATTTGTGTAGGAAATAAGAGGGAGTATATTTGACGGCCTCCGTAATAGTTAATTGGTTTTGTAAGGCTTTCTTATTTAAGTGGGGGAAAAGAAGGAGAGGTCACAGGAAAGACCCAGGTCTGTTTGGACACTAATGAGTACAGGGTGTGGAAACTGGAGAGCTGAGATGCTGGAAGGCTCATTACTTAGTGGGCCCAGAAAAGCCGTTTTTGAAACTGGCATCTCACTCCCTCTCTTCAAGACAGGAAGAGCAGCCCGAGATGACTGTAGGGCGAGGACTTTCATGGTTGTACTGTCTTAACCATCCCTCTCTGGTGCATTTTTACACACTTGTTTTGGTTTATGTGTGTGTTAGGTATAGTCCTGATATGTATAGTTCTGCTTGACAGCAGTCTGCTTTAAAATAGTAGTAGTAGTAGTAGTAATAGTAATAGTAATAGTAATAGTAATAGTAACAAAAACAGCTGGTAGCCGCTTAGTGGTCGTCCAGGGTTCCCTTTTGGTTTGTCTTCTTTTCTTGTTTCCTGGTGGATGATAAGTTTGTATCTTTATGTACTATGGCTAATCCATCAGCCTGACTACTTTTCCGGCTTTAACCAGAGTACACATACTAAATATTTTGGCTTCTCTTATCATTGCTTTTAAAATTTCTCACAGGAGTGACTTTATTTTTTGTTTTGCTTCAGAACAACAAAGGAAAACCCTGCGATTCTGTTTTGTTTGCAGACAGTTTAAGAAAACAGAGCAAATTGGTTTATGGTTAGTCTGTGACTTTGGGTTAACTTCAAGTTCAGCCCCAGGACAAAGATGACCAGGAATAACCAAGCTTTCCTGAGCAGAGAGAATCCTGGCTCCGGAGTGAGTAATTTTGGTCAGCAAAGATGTTATTTAGCTCCTAAAAGTAATGCTTGAGGCTGAGGCCGAGTAGCTGGGTGGCTGTAGCCTGGCTTTTGCCGGTGCATCATAAGTAATTACTTCTTAGTTCATTCACTTCTTGGCCAGGGGAATTATTTTGAGTGCTGGATAAGATGCAATTTTCTGTGTATTTCCCTTCTAACATCTTGCCACTGATAATATTATAATTAATAGGTAGCATTAGGTGTGGCAGATACTGTGTTATGGCTTTTAATGCATTATCTCACTTGACCATTTCAGAAATTCTGCTGCTCATGTTCTCATTTTATTGTGAGAAAACTGAAGTTCACAATTCCCAAAGAGTCATAAGTAGAGCCAGTCTCCATTGCCGCAGTTTAGTGTTCTGTGCTGTAGAAGTGACGTGTTTTCAAGGTTCTCAGTGTGTGTAACTGAGCACCCATGCCAGACTGGTGAGGCAAGAGACAGGCTTGTGGGCCCTGGCCCTTGACAGGGCTGGGAGTTACTTTAGATTCTTTGTGTCCCAAATCGTGTCAAACTAACACCTTCAGGCCCCTCTTGGCTACTTATGTTTCTTTGGAGCCTGAGTGTATGTACAGAGGCACACATGTTGTGTCTTGGTGCGCACAAACTAAAAGGGAGGAGAATGGGTGTGGGCTTTGCTCTGCCACTTAGTAGCTCCATGACCAGTAGACAAGGCAGTCACCCTCCGTGACTCTTCATTTCCTTATCTGGGAAATGGAACTAATACTTCCTGCTTAGCTGGGTGGTAGAGGGATCAAATAAGAGAAGGAAGACTCAAGTTAAACCTACAGCCTGATCCATTTGCTGACAGTGACTGCTGCTGTTGTTTGGGGGGATTGCAGGGTGGGGAGGGAAGAAATGGGACTTCAAGTCATTAGTCTCTAGAACACATATTTGCCAAATGTTTCCAAGAAGTTTTTTTTTTAATATGTTAGGAACTATTTTAGTTAGCAAAACAGTATTTATAAACTGTATCAAGCCCATGTATATAGGCAGACTAGGCTGCATACAGGGTCATGCTAAGGAAATTTTGTTTAAATGTAACAGTGAATCTGAGGAGGCAGTCTCAGTAAATGATCATGTGAGTATGAGGTAGTTTTTGTGAAATTACACAATGATAAATGCTTAATTTGGGGACCAGTCCCTGAGTAAGAGTGATCCTGGGAATAAGAGCCTGCTCTCTCATGATTTAGCTCGCCAGTGGTGATGTTGCCTGGGTGTCATCCCTTCAGAGAGAGAGCTGGCGCTAGACATGCCAACGAGGTAGTGGTGAGGAGGGGCAGAGAGTCCCTGGGTGGAGACCCCTACAAGTGTCAGAAATCTCGGATCAGCGGACTCCACAGCTGGGTTTTCACTATCGGGCTGGCTTTCCAGTGGCTTTTCTGGTGACCCCTCAGAGGACAGGAGCTGTAGGAAACTTGTTATTACTTCCTTATTACTGACAGCTTTAGTCGTCCTATTGTCTCAGAATTTCCATGGCAT